TTCAAGTGTTTGAGAGTGTGAGGTATTCAGGTCATGCGCGAAGTATCAGAGGTATAGGTCAACGGGCATGTGTTTTTGACTCGGAGTTTTGATGGAATTGCGTCACTTTTTCGAGTCGCGAGACCTGGAATTGGCGCGCGGTAGGGCTTCAAGAATTGAGCGATATTAATGAACGGAAGAGTAAGGACGTACGGGCGCTTGTTTACACGAGATATCAGTCCCCAGGTAATGCGTAGAGGCGCCTGGGTAACTAACCCTGCCGTAGGACATCGCGGGCATGACGGGGATGTGAGGATAGATATAATAGAACTGAGTAGCATAGCAGATATTCTTGCGACGAGCGCTTAGATGTTGACACAGAAGAAACGGCGAATCACGAAAGGGTCGCAACCTAGGTATGCTCCGAGGCTTCAGAACTGCAGAAGAGATGAGTGATATTCGTGAAGGGACGATGAAGGGGGGGGACCTACAAAGTTCAAACCCTTGTTACCCCACAGAACGTGTACGACGTCATCAGCATGAACTGGAAAGTGTACTGCGGTACCGGGATCGCTACTAGTCTCAGTCGTAAGCCCCCCAATAAGTGGGCGATCGGAAGATGGAGAGCTTGTTTCCCCGGAGGACAAGGTCCGGACACCGGTAATGTATGTAGATGTGAGTGTGTGGATAATGGTTCTGGGCTCAGAATACGTCGTTACGTTCTAAACTTCTTTCTTGCCTACACATGTACGTCGCTTTGAAGGTCCCGGTCCATGTCATGTGGTGGTCACGCGAGCTCTATCCTGCCTGTAACCCCCCCTCAGAAGACGTACTCAAGCGAATAGAAAGCCATCGATATGTCAGATAAGCAGAGAGCCAAGTACATTATTGAATGTCACAGGGAAAGATAAAGGGACGTTGACTCGGAGGAATGTTTAGTACCCAGGGGGAGAAAATCACTTTGTCCGAGTCGCGACGCCTAGAATTGGGCCTGCTGAGATGTGAACGGAAGATTGAGGACACACGAGCGTCTGTTTTTCACGTGTGACACATCGGTGCGCCAAGACGACTGGTCTCTTGAATTGTTGCCTGAGGATCACGGGCATTCGGGCTGAGGCGGTATCGTGGAAATGGTGATAAGCGCTGAAAAGATGTAAGAGACGCCCATAACGAAATAATGTATCTATTTACTCACATGTTTATTGGGAAGCGCTGGTATGGCCTCAAGATATCGATATATAGGGACTCATGTAGAGGCGCCTGGTATGATGATAAGCGCTGGAAGGATGTGAGAGACGTCGGGAAAAGGAACAATGTATTTGCTCACATATCTATTGGGAAGCGCTGGTATAGCCCCAAGATCAATTAATAAATGACCTACAAGTGCTTGTTGCCATGATAATTATGGGTAGAAGGCAGGGTTTTATCCGCAATAGGATAGGATTAATACAAGCGAATCGCAGAACATGAACAGGATATATCACTCGGGGAGCTCGGAAATACTGAGCCCTATGACAAACGGAACAGCGTTGAAAAAAACTGGAGTGGAACCAAGAGATGAACATTTAATTAATGAAGAGAAGCAAATGAAGGGACCTACAAGTGCTTATTACCCCGGAGGGATCGGGGAGATGAAATCGAATCGGAGTAGTTACTGCATTCACGGGGTATCGAAAGGTCTCATCAACATTAACTGCTGAGGTCCTGACGCGGATGATTGAATCCGAGTCGCAAGGCTTAAAGTCCTGGGGTAAGCGGTATTAATGAACTGCAGATGAAGGACATACCTGTGTTTGAGATATCGCTTCTACCTTTAAGATATTGAGTGTTGATGATTCCGTAGTGTACGGGATAAGACGGCGAGGTAAGGAGGGATGGCGATAGATAGCCCATTGACAAGCGGCGTGACAAGGCCCAAAGATAATGACATGCAGAATAATGACAAATAGGTCGAGATGCAGGAGCCGCTGTACAACGGCCGAAGATGAGCGATATCAATGAACGGAAGATGAAGGACCCACAAGTGCCTGTTACCCCGCGATACGTCAATGTGCATGCGAGTCGAATCAGAGGCGCTGTTGTCTTCGTGAAGAACCGGACAGGATGAATAGAGCATCATCAGTCGTTACTCAAGGTGTAACAATCAGGCTTTGATGGCGATATCTGCTCAGAGAATGTCATGCGTCATCAGAATCCGAAATCGGGATGAGACGGCAAGAGTAAGATGCTAAGCTTAGAATATAAAAAGGATGGATAAATAGAGGCATCCATTCACTCACCAATTCCCGGTACGGATTGAGATGACGGCAGCAAGAGTCAGCATCTTTTGTGTGTATCTGGGCCGCTGTGGAAGCACCGGAGCTTGAAGAGATGAGAGAGAGAGAGATTAATTAACGAAGCGAAGCAGAAGATGGAGGACCTACAAGCGCCTGTTTAGAGACAGCCAGGTACACTTAGCCTCCGATAACGTACTTGGGAAGAGGCCAAGTTGAGCAGGGTTGTTGCGTCATCTTGGCGAGAGACGGCGATCTAGGAAAAGAAGGAGAGTCCTAACCCGGACTTGCAGATGCTCCTCCCGTCCCAGGCCGTTAACGTGAGACCTGGAATATCACGTCGGTGGCTTTTGGTAGTAGCCCCGTCCGACGGAATGTGATTATATTTGGAGTCACTGCATGTGACGCCGGCCCCGGCACAGCTGAATGAGTCTAATCCATGCAAAGAGAGTGGTAGGCTACAGTATCCTGAGAGTCCTGTTAAGAGGCTAGCTGTAAAATGAAGCGCGTCAAGAGCTGCGGAGTGCGAATCTAATCTTCTTCCGCGGGCAGGCACATGCCGGGCACGTGCCGGTAGATAAGGAAGCGTCACAGCCGAGATCGCACTTGGACAGAACCGCCATGGGCCACCAGGCAATTGTTTCCACGCAACCTTGACTCGATATATATACCGCCGCCGTTCTCTACATTTATCTTTATTGTTCTCCCTCCCTCGCACACTCTCTTCATGACGGAATACGACTTTTCACCAGAGGCTGCTGAGCGCTACCAGGCCACTATGCGCCGTATCTCGCGCTGGGTCGACGATGCTGACGCCCACGCTTGCGAGTTCAAGTCGCCCTTTGTTCCACGCTCGGATGTTGGGGATGACGACGCTCGACCTCAGCCTACGCTCAGCCGGGGAATGAGCAAGCGAGTGCCTCCACCGCTGTACGCTCCAGTGCCGGGCCCCATGCCGCCACACAGCCATGGTCCTGCGCCACCTCCTCCTCGTCCCCAGCCAGTCCCACTCCACGGCCCGGCTCCTCCACCGTCCCATTCACGTCACACACATTCTCCTACTCGTCGTTCCTCTACTCGCCATTCGTCATCACATCAGTCCCAGTCAAAACACCGCTCCGGCTCGTCGTACTATGTCTCACCTACGCCTACGCCTACGCCGCCTCCAGTGCCTTACTATCCGGGCTACAACAACCCGTATTACCAAGCGCGGCCATCCCCGTATGCTCCTCCTCCTCCACCGCAACCGCAGTACTACCGCAGCGGCAATGTAACCTACGCCCCGCCACCGGGAGGATACGTAGTAATACCACAAAAAGGCCGTTCCTCAAAAGTCGTAGTAAGTATTCTTCTTTTTCGTGTTTCCCCTGGAACTGACGTTTATTCGAGTAGTCTTCGGTCCGACCGGTAGTCTTTTCCACGTCTTCGTCGACAGATTCTGAGCCACTGCCGCAACGTCAGCCTCAGTCGGCATCATTCCTGCACAAGGTGTTTCCCTTTTCCCATGGCCGTCGTGATAGCCCTGCCCCCGCTGCCTATGATCATCAGCGCGAGCACCGCCCGCATCATCATCGCCACCATCACCATCATCGGCATAGTGCATAACGTCTCTTTCTTATTCTTTGGGTTTCGCATCTATACTATATTATCCGGACGATTCATATAGTATATAAATCTTATAGGTAATGCGTACTGGATGTTCTTTCATTATTCAGGGATTGTAAATAATATCATTCACCACGTCCCGACATCGGGGAGCGTAGGTCCTTGCCGTCGTTCCAGATCTTTCATTGCCAATATCTTGACCTGGGCGCATTCCTCTCGTTAGCGGGCAACCCGCTTTCATCCGACAAACGCAGCATTACCCAAGTGGTGGTCAAATTGGGATCATTGTGCTATCGTTAGAACGTAACCGGCTTGAGGTCAACCGCACACTTATTTACACACGGACTTTTTGTTCAAGAAGTTGGCGCTATTGATAATAGGTACATATACACGCGCTTTATTGTACATAACATTTTGGATATCAGGGTACTAATGGAGTTTCATCAGACCCGAGTTAATCACAAATGCGGGGAAGGGTGCCACGTACCAATTTAGATGAGTGGGGGAACCGGTCCTTGCGATGCGACGTGAATAAATAAATAATCGACCGGGTACTGGAAAGCGTGGGCTAGAGAGTCTAAATCGATCAGCGTGAGGTGCATTATAAAAGAAAAGGGACAACATACTACGGCGTGATATCGGGAAAATGGAGATGGAAAGCCCTGAAAGATAGATCCTCCGTCAACGGAGGCGCGACTAACTCTGCGATACGCGACGGACCTTTTTGTTTTCGCGTACTTAGCGGTGCTTCTTGCCCTCGCCAGTAGCGATCAGAACGACGGCCCAGATATTGCGCGTTATCTCAGACATGATTCTATGCCCCATTGTCAGTAAACGCCAGCTTCATAACCAGGGATCACAAACTCGTACTCGTTGGAAAAGTGGGGGAGAGTGGATTGATGTTTTGATGTCCTTCCCTCGTCGATACCCTTCCTCCTTATATACCCATAGTATAGAACGACCGAGAATCGAGGGCTCGAGCGAGAACCCAGTGCCCACCCACATCGAAATTACGAGCAGCGGTTTCGCAATTCTAGAGCGTACGATGGGGTCAAGTGGACAAGCGGGGGGATCCGGAGGATGGCGTCTAGACTGCGTAGATCTCTCGAGATGTCAGTAGATGATTTAGGTGAACGAGTGCAGGGCCGGCTAGCTCAGTTGGTTAGAGCGTCGTGCTAATATAACGACCAGATCGAAATGTTACGCGAAGGTCTTGGGTTCGATCCCCACGTTGGCCACTGATCATTTTCACGGAGAGATTTTTTATTGCCTACCTTCGCCAAGTTGAACCTTTTAAGTTTTCAATATGGTTGACCGCTGTGCACGAAGATTCAGGTATTCTTCCAAGTTCGCAGGCCCTAGGGACACTATTATATTCTCATGGTGGTCATCTGGGCGTATAATCACTAACTGTTAACGTTCGTTCTTCATAACAGCCCTATTTGTGAACGGCCATTCACTTACTCATCAGCCCCATCTTATAGCAATAAAGCCGAGGGAAAACAGTCAGTGCAGCCACGCGCAGTCTGCAAACCTGTCATTGACAGGAGATTATACCATATTCATTAAGAGGCCCCTTCTCTAGGTTTGTCCAAGACTGCACGGTAACAGTCTTGCGCGCCAATCCGATTGTGAGAAACTTCAGCCTGAGGGCATTCGCATGGATGATGGCTGAAAGTCCAAGTTTTACCAAGGATGTGAATACATTTGTCATTTGATAGGCAGCGACTTCCTTATGTTACCGCAAAACTAGCTGGGTTCGATCCCCACTTCAGCCTATCAGAGCAGCAAGTCCTTTTTTTGTCTCTAATGCTAGGTTTCGTCGCTGCAGAGTTCTTTTAGTATTTCTGTCCGTGAGAATTTTCTAGGTTCTGTCCCTCCAGCAGTACAGTCAGTACGCGCATTCTTTATCAACCCCTGCACACTGGTCATTAGAATTCAGATTACATGTACGTGTTACTCGATAGCAGGTTCTTTTCTGCCAGTGTTTTTATCTGACCCTGCACGGTGAGATGCGTGTACCAAGTGGTCGATTTGGTTAGGTGTCACACTAGAGGTTCGATCCCGGCGCTTGACAATAAACGGGAGTGGGGCCTTTTTTATGGCATATGTCTATCTCAGGCCAAGGCTAACGTTTCATGTAAACGGATGGAAAGGGTGAGAAGTGACTGTGGGGGAGGGGGGAGGGGTTCTCAAGCTCACGTTAGATGGGTTCTCGTGCTTCGAACGAAGTCTGGCATCACTTTACAGCTCTGCCGATATGAATGTAGGTTAGGTGTGCATAAGACGAATTCAAACCCTGTAGGCTGTATGTAGTTTGTTTCCAATAAGCAACCTTTACCAGAGATTTTCGCTTTTTCCTGACGAACTTAGACATGCCGCTCCTTGATGGAGACTCGAATCCCTCGGGAGATGTCGTTTTGATAGTTACGAGGTCATCGTGTCTTTCATGTCATGGCAGATTTCGTCCGGATAAGCGTAGAGCGCCTGATTGTCACTGGCAGCGGATTAGATCAGTAGGCTGGGCGTTAACTTTAATTTGGGTTCGATCCCCTGCGTTGGCCACTAGTGGGAATAGCATGTTTTTAATATTTACAGCGGTGATAATACTCGATTCCTGACGCGGCTATCGAATAGCTTTTCTTCTCCTGGCGGGGGATATTTCACACCTGGAGATGTATCATTGCTAGTGTGGTGGGTGGACGCTCTCTGCTGACCCAGGTTGCTACGAGAAACGGGAGGGCTCTGTATTTTTGAGGTGAAACAGGAGCGGCGTCTCGCAAGGTTCCCAGGACCGAGAACCGATGTATCATCACTGAGAGAATGAACCAATGTATTCGCATACTTTTCTGCATAATGACTACCTTTTGTTTCGTGCAAAGGGTTCGGTAACTGGTTCCAGCATTTGCAACTACTGAGAGAGTGTCTGAGAGTCTATTTCCTTTTTACCAATGAGGCGGGTGACCGTCCCCTTTCATATGCATGTGAGCTATCGTTTCTACTGGCGCACCCCGGAGGATCCTGTCGTTCCCAGTTCCAAATATTCAACTGCTCCGGTAGATGCGTAGTCCTAAGACCGCTCCATCTTACAGTGAGAGTATAAAGGACTAATATCGGTCGACTAGGGGACTGGTTAGAGCTTCGCGCTAATGGAACTCCGGCCTGTTGATAATATTAACACGAGGGTACTGGGTTCGACCGCCAAGTTTGCCATAGATGTCGCGCCAAGTATTTCTTTGTAGCATTTTTCCAGGGCTTCGATGTGAGATCGGTTTTGTATGGCAGTTTTGGGTGATCGCGTTAATCTCTTATTCATGAAGTGAGCTAACCCGCCAGATACATCGTTCCCTCCTCTCGACATAACTTGAAACCCATATTTAAATTGATAAGTAGGACAATGTACATTCGTCGGTGACTGAAGTGGTATAATACATGAGGCGCCTACCAAGATGTACAATAAATAATAAACTTATATCAATGTCCACGGAAGAAGGGGGGGGGTAAAAAATAAGAATAGTCGGGACACTTAAGGATAAGTTATGTTCAAAGTTGGTCGGAGGTGAGGTTCCCGTAAATCGGGCAGAGTTGATCCCAGGCCGCTGTCAAATTTGCGTCTCAGTATCACTCATGATGGAGAAAAAACGGTTCGTACTCGGCGGATTCTGCGTCTGGATGGTGTCGACATCCTCGGCGAAGACAACGGCGAGTCCGCTAGGAAAGGACGATGAGCAGTAGAAACAATAGAAAATGAATGAAGACCCACACTTCCAGATGCCAGTCGATATGGCTGAAGCAATATGGTTAGCATTCATAGTATCTTTGAGCACAAGGTAAGCAATTTACCAGTGCAAGAACCAAGGTCCAGCGTTGTCCGTTGTGAAACGAATAGTGACGTTGTCAGTGCCAGAACCAGTCGATACGACGTCACGTCGGACCTGGAGAGTGCGGTTAGTTCTCAGAAACGGTAGAAGGAAATGAGGACTAACCGGGTTCGCGTAGTTGTATTCGGTGCTCCCTGCGCTTCGTACGACGTCAAAGGTATGCTAGAAAGGGCATTCATTACAAAGGTCTGCGGACAAGTAGGGAAATATCTTACACCGTGAAGATGGAACGGGTGCTGGCACGAAACATCAGCCGGGGGTGCGCCATGAGAGAGAATGATACGTACAGGACCACCGACTGCCAAAGCCGGAGCACTTATTTCAATGACCTTGTTCGGCGGGAGTGTGTAAACGCTCCCGGAAGGAAGCAGGTTCTGGGCTGCGTTGGCCCCGCTCAAGATCTGCAAAAGTACTGGTGCGGTGGGAGGGATGAAGGACGCGCCATTGACTGTGAATCTGAAGTCGGTGATATCGAACGCGAGGGCTAGGTTAAGCTCAATGTCCGCTCCGCCAGCTTGTGGCAACCCAGGAGCACCAGGGTTCTCGAGAGGGTGGAGGTTCGTCTCAAGGAGTGGTATAACACTCGTCGTCTGGTTGGTCGTCGGGTCCCCTGAAGCTGCTCCGACGTAATGCACCACACCCGAGTTGATCCCTCCCTCAAAGCCCTGCGTTCCGGCGTTCGGGCTCGCACGCATCCAGTAGTTCGCGATCCGTTGATTTGCGTTGAGGATGAGGGAGTACCGCTGGCCGGCGAATATCTGGACGGAGTCGACAACGAGGGGCTGGGTGTTGACGCCATCGGCTTCGATGACGGTGAGGTTGTGGGAGTCAATGGAGAAGACCCAGTTCGGGTCGCATGAGATGGCTACAAGGCGGATGCGGTAGCGTAGTCCGCGGATAACGTTGAGTCGGAAGAGATCAGAGGTCGGCTGGATTGATGGTCAGAAGGGAGGGTGTGAGAAGGTGACGAAAAGTACTTACGCCACCTGCGTAACGTCCTTTACCTATTTTGAAATTAGGAAATTAGGGTTGATATGATGAGTTTGCTCTGACGTACCGTTGATCAGGGTAGCGTCGAAAACGGGTACTGGTCCCGCTGCGAGGGCCGGTGTGTGGTACCTAGTGTATTTCATCATGAGACTGTAAATCCGATAGTCGGAAGAAGAGCGGTATTCACCAGTCTGCCAGAGTGATCACTGTCGCCTCTGGAATATGTGTCAGAAGGCGGAAGTTTGGAAGGGAACACATCTCATACCGGTGTCAATGTCATAACGCAACCGGTGAGGATCGAGAGGGTCGTAAACGACCATAGGTCCTCGAAGACCATCACAGTATTGTGTAGCTATGAATGTCGTGTCACCATTCTGAGGATATGAAGATGTAAAGAAGGAGGGCGTACAGAGATGAGAGTGGTACCAAAATGTTCCCGCCTGATCAGGAACCGTAAAGTCATATAGGAACGAGTGGTTCTAAATATGATCAGCGTCTGAAGAGCGGAATTGGAAGATTTTCACTCACGGCAGCGATGGGGCACTGGTTCACGAAACTAGGCCTATAATCGTGGTAACAGTAAGATACGAAACGTGGGATGTCTTTTATATACTCACCCATCAGCCCAGGAGGATCCTTTCTGAAATAAACCATGCCAGTGCTATTATTACGGTCGTCAGAGAAACGACGCAGCAGATCAAAACGAAGAGCCTACTTACGATACTGGTGCTTCTCAACATCGTATTGTCCGTCAAACTATCAATGACGTTGATCCTAAACCTGTTTCCCTGGAAGAAAAAAAATGAATAAGAGCAGAAGGGCTGTGTTCAATAAGGATGTTTGCCTTGCTTCCTTGAACGAGTGGACCTGGAAAGGTTCCACCAGCAAGAACAGCACTAAACGGTGGGGTTAGCGAGAGTAAATGGGCGGAGAGAGTGCGGCGCGTACCCTCTAGTAAAACCGTCAGGCGCGATATTTGCGTTGACGATTTGCATGTTAGCTACGGGGCCGATGGCAGCGTGCGCGCCAGATAGCAAGGCAGAAACGAGGAGAAGAGTGGAAATCATCGTTCTCGCTGATAGAGAAGAGGTGATTATCGCTCCTCTCCTTTATACCTCTCGGTGTTCAACAAAATGTCTCACTCGTCCGACATCGCGGCAATGTGATTGAATCTAATACGAGCATCTGGCAGCTCTAGACTAACATAAGTGTATATCCTGACGATTACGAGAGACCTGTTCGTACCTTGGGTATGTATGGAGCCAGGGGTAAGAAGGGGCTCCCATCATACTGGTTGTCAATACTAGCGGCCTCGGGAACCTGGAGGAACGTTGAATTGGAGACCAAGGAGGTTTGCAATTTTTTTT